TAAACACCTTTGTAGAATTGGCATAAGCTAGTCATGAGCTATCTAGAGCCATCATAAAGACCAGACTATGATATTCCACACAGGCTCAAGAGGAGTTATTTAGAACTTTAGATTTAGCATTCACATTAAAGAAAGGATGTTCTTATATATCATACTCATAAGGCCAGGTATAAAGGCTGAACGATCAAGAACAATTAGGTGACCGTTTTTCTGTCACTAGGCTGCTCTAATTCACAGAGATGACAAGCTCTGCAGGTAAACTGACTCCTGGTCAAATCCCAGCTCAGCACATTCTAGCTCTGTAATGTTGGGTAGGTCAGTTAACTTTGCTGAGTCTAATTTTCATCATATGTAAAATGGAGAGAGTAGAACCCAGACAGCAGGACTGCTATGAGGAGAGAGTAGAACCCAGACAGCAGGACTGCTATGAGGAGTAAATGATTAGCACAAAGTAGGAACTCAGTGCAAAGAATCTCATGTTATTATTACAAATGATATAAACTACTTTCTCTATTGTTATGCTACGCTTCAAGTCAGTATTTGGAAGGCTTTAAAAAATATACTAAGATCATTTCCCCTGTGGCAAGTAAAAGATGACACAGTTTCTCCCCACCTCCACTCTGCAAACATGAAACTGGATCAAAGAGGGTGTTGCTCAGGGCTGCAGAGTTAGACCATCACCAGCTTGGTGCTTCATTTACCAGAATCCTATGCTACCCAGTACCACGGACTTACCTATTCCTGAAACCACTTACTACTGACCACTCGGGAAACAATTCATTTTAATTCTGCCTCCTGGTGTCTCCCTATCATTTGAGTGTGGGTTTTCCCTTTCTGTGGAAATTTGCTTCATATTTCCTTCCTGTTCTTTTCACTGGTGTTCTGCAAAGTCATTTGTGATGTCATCTTTCGCATTTCTGTTCACCAGACTCTCTCTCCCTAGTGACTAATGTCCATCATCACTCCTCTGGGATTCAGTTTTCATGAAGCAGCAGCCAAAGAAGCTTCCCATTTAACCTACAATAACATTCAATTCCAGTAAAGCCTGGGCGAAGAAAATGGGCTAACATCTGTCCTTCCATTAACTCCAGGTGATCTCAGTAAGCGGTTCTTCCTTCAGAGCAAACTTCTGTGAGGGGCCAGCTACTACAGAATCCAGTCTCCCCTCCTGCACTCAGGTAATTTTATATTCTTATTTGTAGAACCAACTTCCAAACTGCATGTACATATATTTTTGTTTCATAATTTACATTTTATTGGTTGTTTTGAGGCTCAATACACATACATTTTAATTTGTACACAATTTTAACGGATGTACCAAAAATCTAAAAAGTCATGTAGCTGTGATTCTTTCCTAAACCGTTATTCCAGTCAGTTTCCGGCCTAAAATTTGGTGGCAAATAGTCCTTAAAAGGATATCAAGTATAAATTTATTTATCACTTACTAATTTGTATTATTTATTTATATATCACATGTATTTATATACATTAATACAATAATTACATATTATAAATATGATAAAGGAGTCATTTTAGCACAGTTGAAACAAAATAGAAGGTTTATATTTATTCATTCATTCAGTAAACATTTCTTGAGCTCCTACGATGTGCCAGACCTGTACTAGACGCTGAGGGAAACATCATGAAATATGAATGAAGTGAATTAAGAGGATTATCATGAAATACTCAACCTTAGAGAAAGGAGTAAGAGAGCCAAAAACAAATCATACATAGCAAAAACAGTTGAGACAATTCTCTTGATGATTTTAGCCACCCTCACCCAAACCAACCCCCCAAAACCTAGCAACATTTCTCATTTATTCATTATATATGATAATTATGAACTTGGACTAAACTGCTGAAACAGAGTTTGAATCTCAAACAGAGTTAGAGACAAACAAGAGTTGGTCTCTCACTAGTTGGGGGACCCTTATCAAATTATTTTACCTCTTTAAACCTTAATATCCTTATCTGTAAAATGAAATTACTAATACTGCCTGCCTCATAGGGCTGCTGTAAGAATTAAATGCTGTATTAAATGCACAAGGTGTAGCACATGGTGTGTACTCAAAGTTGATTATTATCATTATTATTATTCAGAATTTGACCTGAATTATTTAGCTAGCTCAATCTACCTATTAATTTCTTATAATTTCAAACATCTTACTAAGATTTTTTTTGAGACTTGTTTATAGATGTAAATTCAGAGGTAAGCTAATAACACTTAAGAAAGGATGAACAGACTCACTGAGGATTAGAAACTTAGAAATCCAGGCTCTTGGTCACCTCAGGAGGTTGCAAGAGATACTGTGTATTTTTCATCCCTGTTAGCTGTGGAAATGATTGGTTGTATTAGGAGCAATTTTAAAGAACCGTAAACAAAGTTCATCCTTTAATGCCAAGTCCTAGAAAGAAAACTAGGGAGAAAGAGTACACAAAGGAAACTTCTCCCCTTACATATAATCATTTCTATACTGTTAGATTCTCTATCAGGAGGGATTTAAATTGAAAAAGAGGAAAATTGTTTAATGGGAAATACTGAACACGTGCTACATTTTTGAGTAATTTTATAGTGGATGTTCTAGAATATTTTCCATAGGAATCACCTAATAGTTTGATTTCTTGATATTTTTCTGTTCCTTGCTAAACTCTCAGCAAACCTCAGACACTGTGATTGTGAGGAATTTTTATTACATAATGGAAAGAAAGATTGTGTATTAGCAGAAATGTCTTTTAGTCAATTACTTTGAAGGTTTTAGAAAAAGCTTTAAATGTTACCCTTTAAAAATCTGATTGTGGGGCTTCCCTGGTGGCGCAGTGGTTGGGAGTCCGCCTGCCGATGCAGGGGACGCGGGCTGTGCATTGTGAGGTAGGCACCTGGCATGTCTTCTCTAGGGAGCGTGTAAATAGTATCCTGTGCTTTGAAGTACAATTATGGTGAATTATATTATTATTTGAGTACAGCAGTAGATGAGGTCAAACACAAACTGCAGGGAGTTCAGAATAGCAATAAAACTAATAAGGGAAATGAAAGGGGAGTTTTAAAAGGAAATTTGGCAGAATCATATTAATTAAGAAATGAGTGGAGTAATTTCTTTAAATAAGTTAAGTAGAGGTTTTAGGAATTAGAATGAGAGGCCCGCGTACCGCAAAAAAAAAAAAAAAAAATCTGATTGTGCACTTGACAGGTATTTCTGTTTTGCCATCTTTACGTTGTGTACCCATCCTAAATCCCAGTCAGACAGATAATGGTAACATTGGTCTATCTGGGTTAACAACTTCTTTAGGAAATTTCAGTCTTGCCAAGTCATTTTTCCCTCTTCCAGGAGAAATATATGCATTAATGTTTCCAGAGTAGTGGGCACGTATAGAATATTGCTATTTGGTCCCCGGTGTTGGCAATCTGGTATTTTCAACCTTGAGCGCCAGCCTACCAAGCAACAGAAAACTCTCGTTCTGGGACTTTGGGGCAAATACTCATTTTTACAGAAACTGTTTAAAACATCAGGGATTAAACACCTCTCTCCCTCTCTCTTTCCTCCCTTCCGACCCCCCCGCAACCACATCCTCCCTCTCTGGCATGAATTCTTCTGACTTCCAAATATGCATCCCAAGGCAGAGGTAGTTATAGCTTGAAGTGTCAGCTTTGAGCTGCTCCAAGCATCTCTTTGGCAAAAAGCAAGCGGAAGTGATTGAGAAATCCCTCCAGGCACTGGTGCTTCCCCTCGAGTCCACGACAGCCCCCTCGCACTCCTCCCCACCTCCCTCCCGCCCCCGCCCCGTGCCCATATCTCTAAACCCGGAGGCAGTCGGGGGTGCCTAAGTCCCCGCCTCCTCTCGCTGCCCAGAGCGGCTCTTAACCTTTTTTGGGCCCGAGACGTACAGAAAGCTATGGACCTTCTCGCGATGGGGACGGAGGTTGGGAAAAGCACAGCTTTAAAGCTTTGCGAAACTTTCAGGAGACCATGGATTTGAAACACACCACGAACTGCAAAATAAGAACCCCAACTCTAAACCTCTTGGCTTGAGGCGATTAAACCGAGAGCGGAGCTCCGATGCCAAATCTCGTCCCTAGTGAGAAAGTGTAGGAAGGGAAGGCGCTCCTGCGCTGGGCCACTTTCACTTGTAAGAAACCAAAAGAAGCGGGTAGTCAGGGACGGAAATTCATAAAGGGGGACAGAGAAGAGGGAGGGATGGGGACAGCAGAGAAAACGAAAAGGAAAGGGGGAGACGCGGGAACTAGGGAGGGAGGGGGGGAAGAGACCACAAGGGGGGGACAGAGACAGAGCGGCACAGAGACACAGGGCGAGGGAGAGAGATTCGGAAGCGAGAGAGGAGACGGGAGAGAGACAGACTGGGAGCGCCCGGAAAGGGAGAGAACTGTCTCCGCTCTCCCGCCCCAGGGCAGGGAGTCTCAGGAAAGCCCGTCCCGGTGTGGTGGCGGGACCGCAATGGGCTGCCCCAGCGCTCCCGGCGCCTCTGGGAGCACGAGTCCCGCACGGGCGGCCGAGCAGCGGACTCGATCTGGGAGGAGGCGGTCCCCGCTCCCTCCGCTTTCTCCTCCCCTCTCCTCCTAGAGGCGGGGACCTGGGTACTTGAGCAGCGGAGGACCCGCGGCCCCCCCACACGCCTCCGCCCCCCAGCCCCCCATTCAAGAAGCCGCTCCGCTATCCCCGCCAGCACAGGGCGCCCGGCGCGCCTCGGAGCGCACGTTCCGCGCCTTCTCCTGCCCGCTCCCTGGACATTATGCGGCCGAGCAGCCGAGCCCCAGTCCTCCTCCTCCTCCTCCTCCGGCTCCTCCTGCGGCCCGAGCGGCTCAGCTCTCGGCAGGCGGCGGCGTTGCTCAGCCGAGCGCAGACGGGACCCTCGCCGCGAGACCTCAGCGACTCCTAAAGTCAAAAGTTGGCGGCGGGCGCCGGGCTCCGAGCGCTCTCCGCGGCCGCTGCCTAGCGTCGCCGCCGCAGCCGCCAAAGAGGACAGGACGGAGGGGGGAGTGGGGGCGGCGGGGGAGGGGTGGGGAGCACCATGCAGTTTGTATCCTGGGCCACACTGCTAACGCTCCTAGTGCGGGACCTGGCCGAGACGGGGAGCCCAGACGCCGCGGCGGCCGTGCGCAGGGACAGGCTGCACCCGAGGCAAGGTAACGAGGCTCGGCCACCGGGACCCCTCCGCCCCTGTCGCCAGCTCCCCAGCCTCCGTGTCCGACAGCGGGCACCCCGCAACGGAGGCCTCTCTCTCTCTCTCTCTCTCTCTCTCTCTCTCTCTTATCCTTTTCCTAGAAAGAATGGTCTCCCACTTTGCAGCCTCTCCCTTCTTTAGGTCATTCCCAGCCTATTTCTAGAGAGAGACACTGTGGAACGAACTTTGTCGTCCCCCCCTTCTTTTAGCCGGATCTTTTCCTTCCCCACCCCAGGCCCCAAACTAGAGTTACTTAGTAACTGGGGGCACCCCATCGTGGCGTGTTTTATTTTATGCAGGGTATTTGTCAGGATCTGTAATCATGTTATGTGTTTTGACTTATTCATTGGCTGGCTCCGACAGCGCCTAACACTGTTCCTGGCACATAGTAGGTGTTCAGCAAATATTTGTCCAGTGACTGAAGGCGAAGGGATTGACTCAAATGGGGTGGGGAGGAGGGAGAAGCTGGAAAATAACTCAGGACGAAACCGCCCACTTCATTTTTAAATTAAAACTTGCGGAAAATTGAATTATTGGTTCATGTGCCTCTGCTTCTCTCTGCAGTGAAACTATTAGAGACTCTGAGCGAATACGAAATCGCGTCTCCCATCCGAGTGAACGCTCTCGGAGAACCCTTTCCCACGAACGTACACTTCAAAAGAAGGCGACGGAGCCTTAACTCTGCCTCTGACCCCTGGCCTGCCTTCGCCTCCTCCTCTTCCTCCGCTACCTACACCCAAGCGCATTACCGCCTCTCCGCCTTCGGCCAGCAATTTCTATTTAATCTCACCGCCCATGCCGGATTTATCGCTCCGATGTTCACTGTCACCCTCCTCGGGGCACCCGGGGTGAACCAGACAAAGTTTTATTCTGAGGAGGAAGCGGAACTCAAGCACTGTTTCTACAAAGGCCATGTCAATACCAAGTCCGAGCACACGGCCGTCATCAGCCTCTGCTCAGGAATGGTAAGTGGACGCGCACCCCTCCCCTGCCCTCTCGCCTCCTCATCAGCTTCTAGGAGACTTAATTGCTCTCTCGCCTAAGACCCTCACTGCGCCGTCTCTGCTCTGGCGTTAAGTATCAGCTACAAACTTGTTTGCGTTCCTACGCTTTGGGTGGCTACACCGGTGAGTGCGCGAGAGGAGCGCACGCATTCGCCCCCGGGGGGTTCTGGATGGTTCGGAGCTTTCTAGGGTCCGAATTCGACTCAGCTGAGTGTTGCCCCACACCGGTAGGTGGCTGGGAAGTCGGTTTCCAAACTCGGAGGGAGTTGTCCTTCCTTGCTGCAAACTCGGCCGCCTAGGAGCCGAGCAGCTGAGCGCCGGGAGAACCCGACTCCTTATTGGCGCGTCTTGAGTCGGGGGTGTGGGCTGAGAATCCCCAGCCACGGGTATGGGGAGTTTCTTCCGTGTGTCTTGGAGGGCGCTGCGTAATCTACAGTCCCCACGTTCTCTCAGGGCCTTTTTTCACGCGCCAGGAACCCTGAGGCTGAACTGGATTGACAGGGAACAGGTCCCGTCCCAGGGACGGAAGGGTGGGCCAAGGGCTCAGGGGGCGGGGAATGGGGCGGAGCCTTCCCTGGACGCTTTGCATTAGGGAGGAAACTGGGAATGGGGGTGCGGCGCGGTGCGACTCTGCACCCTGCTGGTGGGGTGGCCCCAAGAAGCAGAAATACTGGGAGAGAGCTTGGAGAGGCTGCCGGGAGGAGGTTTCAGTTCTTCTGGGATTTCCACCACCCACGGGGTGACAGAGAATCAGAAAAGAGAGCCTTCGGCGCGCGTTTCCCTGGAGAGGGAAGGCGAGAGGGCGGGGCGGCCACCTCTCTGCGCAGCAAAATACGCACTTAGCAGGGGATCCAAGTTGATACCCCTACCCCCTGCTTAGTTACGCCCCCCCGCCCCACTTGCCCTCCAAGGTATCCTCCCTCTCCACTCTTGATATTTGAGGACCCGCTGTAAGGTTCTGACCCGAGCAAGAGCTGTTCTAGGACTTTCCCAAGCGACGTGCGTTTCTGCCTCGCGCTGTGACGCAGAAACTATCGCGGGTCAGACTCTCCCAGCGCACGGGCGCTCTTCGCCGTGCGCCCCCGTGATACGATTATTTTTCCCCAGAGCATCCATTAACTCCCCGTCGTTACCTTTTCCAAGTGAGAGCTTGGAATACTTACCCGGGGCTCTTGGCTGCCCCCTCCACGGGCTGCTATGAGTGGCTCCAGAGTCCCGCATCTGGATGTCTCATCTATCTCCGCTGCTCAGCCGAAGGGTCAGGTGGGGAGCGAGGCAAGCTTGAAGACTCGGACGGGGGGACGGTTAGCCCGCTGGGATGCGAGGACGAAGATGAACGCCTTTAGCCCCCAGCAAAGCTCCCAGAGCCGCCGTGCTTTGTTGACAGGGTTTGGGGGTGGGCGGAGACGGCAGTTAGGCGAAGGGGAGGGGGTGCTGCAGTGAGTCACCACTGCCCCAAGACGCCTGGAATCTTTGTGTTCTTAGCAAGGTTGGGGTTTGGGTGGGCACAAGTCAGGTGCCGGAACCCAGGGCATCAGAGTGTCCCCAAGTCCCAGGGTTGTAACCCACAATTCCAGAACCTTACTGATAGGGCTACGTGTGTACGTCAAGTTTGTAAACAGCCTTTACTCCTCCTCCGTCCCCGCCTCCACACCCCGCTGAGTGGCCCCAGCCGTGGTATGTTTTACTGCGCAGGACCTTAGTTTCTATTGGCAATTTTAGGTGGTAACTCGCACGTGTTAACTGCGGAGTCGTAACTCTCTCAGGGAACGGAGGGCCGGGACTTCAAAAGGACTGTCTAGACCTTGAGGAGTCCGTTTATATTGCGTTTAATTTGCGATCTGGCCCTTTTTTGGGGGGATGGGGGGGCAAGGTCTGGCATACATATGAAAAATATGCGAGCTGGCTGTTTCTATCTTCAGGGACGAATCTAGCTCCAAAACCCTTGCCCCTTTGTCTTCCTCCTGGAATTTATCTTTCTTCCCAAGATGCCCCCTTACCGTTTCAGTACTAATAGTATCCTGACGTTCCTCGTGGCCCACACAGGAAACCTTCCTGGAAATCTTTCACTCTTCAGAGTGAGTCATGCCAACCTTACCCCCTCCTGTCACCCCACCGGTCAGTTACTAGTTTCCCTGAATTCCCTCTCAGATGCGTTTCTCACCTGTTCTGAACATCCCTATTATGACTCTAGACCTCTTTCTCTCTCTCTCCCTCTGTCGTTAGGACTGACATCTAAGAAATATTTCCATCTGGCTTCTTCTCTGGTCTTTTTTTTTTTAATCCCTGCCACACACTGCTAACAGATTAATGATGACAAGGCACAAGATCGCATGGCTACCCTGTTCGTTTACTTCACAGACCGCCCCACTGCCTAGTGAAAGACTGTGAACTCCTCCATCTGGCACTTCAGACCATTGACAGTGTACCTACCCTTGCACATCCACATGTCCAGTCTCATCTGTTAAGCTTTCCTTCGCAAATCCTGCGTTTCAGGCAACCTGCTCTCACTCATTTCTCTGCATTTCCCTCCCGTCCTAGTTCTACCTCATAGCCTTTGGATTTACTGGGTGATCTCACCCTGCTTCACATGCTCAAATCATGCCCTTCTTTCAAAGTGTAACTGAGGTATCTTGTTCCCCAGGAAACCTCTTCGTCGCCCTTCAGACTGCTGTCGTCTCTCCGTCTCCACTTTCATAGACTCTTACCTGCATCTCTCTTTGATGTTTAGTATGCTTTCCCTTGTAGTATGGTTCTTGGACCACGTGTTCTATCCCCTTTTCCTTGGCAGTAGGGTCAGCATCAATTCATTTCTCTCCCGTATTGGAGCCTTGTATATTATAAGCCCTTAGTACCTGTGTTTGAATAAATGGTCACCTTCCAAGAAAGGATTACTCTTCAGTCAAGCAATTGTTTTGTGAATCAGCCATAAAATTAATTTGACTTCATATAGATACTATTTTTTGAACTCTTACTGTGTGTCTTGTACTATAATAAATATTTTATATATGCATTATTTCATCTAAATCCTTACAACAGCCCAATCCTTGAAACAACCCATTTTGCTGATGAGGATACTGAGGCTTTGAGAGTTGGGGCCTTGCTGGAGGTTTCACAGCTAGTAAGTGACAGAGTTGGGGTTCCCACCCAGTCCTTCTGACCCGTACTCTTTCTTAACCATGGGCCAGAGAATGAATCTATGTTCTTAAAGAGAATTTCAAAGTTTTTGTTTGTTTGTTTTTAAAGGCACTAGACTAGAGTCAGGGTACCTGAGTTCTAGATTCACCATGGGTACTGTTCAGCTGCTTCTTTATCACTGAAGGGGATAAGCCAGTTCCTCCCTCTGGGCCTCAGTTTCCCCTTTCAGTAATCAGAGTTGCCAGATCTTCACCAGATGGGCTCCCAGATTCTTTCTCAGTATTTATAGCCTGTCTCTAGTAGCTTTCCCATGTTGTAGCCAGCTTCCTGCTCTGTGCTCAGAGAACACCAGAGTTGTATTTTGAAAATGGAGAGAGTGCCTGGGTGAAAATAAACTTGTTAAATCACTTCTTTTCTGGACACCTGTTACTCTCTCTCTTATTTTGACACCAGACAACACTAGAGCTGTCTTCTCTCTAAGTCAGTGGTTCATGAGCCACACGGAGAGCTTTTTAAAATATACGGATGTTAGTCGTCACCACTGGAAATTACAAATCTGCAGATATAGGGTGGCACCCCAAATCTAAATTTTTTTTCGACTTCCTAGGCAATTTTGACACTTAGCTCGGTTTGGGGACCCCCGTGTCTTAGCCAAGTGCTTGAAAACTTTATCATGCCTAAGAATTTTAAAATTTCAATTCCTGGGCCCTACCCCCAGATACTTTGATTCAGTAGATCAGATTTGGGGTGGAGTGCGATTATTTGAGTATCTAACTAACTCCTGGATGCTGCTGCTGCTGCTGACGTTCAAGGACGATCATTTCCCTGTGTCCAGGGCACAGTCAAAGGCCTCTGCCTTTTTGCCGCCACTGAGGGAAAAGGAACAATGGAGAAAGAAGAGCTTGATACTTGCCTTGAAACACTGCCCACTGGCATGGCATGGGAAACTTTTTAGTGTTCTTCTAATGTTCTGTTTGAGTGGTTCAACTTTGAACCACCATTTATCATTTGCAAAACTTGTTGGTACTTGGGAAGGGGAGGAGAAAGAGTTACCTTTTTCAAGGTGCTTAGAGTGATTGGCAAACGCAAATTGTATCCTGGTGGTTAGAGGCTAACCCTGCAACACCAAAAGCCACTCATGTGTTCTAAGTCCTTACAAGGTATCACTTTGCTAAGCACTTCACACGCATTATCTTATTAATCTGCACAATAAGTGACAGTAAGTATTTTTGTCCTTAATGGATAAACAAGGAAGCTGAAGCTCAGAGCAGTTAAGGAACTTGCCCAAGGTGGGTGGGTCAGTGGCAGTGCTGGGATTGGAACCTCTGGCAGCCTGACTGCAAAGTCTTATCCCATGTCACTCCCTATCGCCAAGGGAAGGGGCGGTAAGAGACTCGTGTGCCAGTGTCACGGGTGGCACCACCTTGAGTGCCTTGTGGTCAACATATGCTTTCTATTTTGAAGTCATAATAAGGCTTCCTTGGGTAGGCTTTTGCTTTTGGAGCTGATACTTGTCCCTCAGTTTCCAGGCTGTCTTAATGCACAGAAACACTCTCTTTCAACAGTCTGTAGGAGTGTATATAATTAGAACTTGAGCACCAAGGAAGGATTTCTCACAGACAGGTTTGGATAGCAGGTGCAATAAAGTAGAGTCCAGTCAAGTAGAGTATGGTGCTGATATGGCAGAGAGTGGGGGAAAAAACCAAAACAAACGAACAAAGAAAACAAGTGCTTCTCCAAATATGTCGGGAGGACTTTTCAGTTTAAGCAGCCCTCATGGGAAAGGGATTGGGTAACGGTGCCGTTCACTCGGCAACATTCCACTGCCCTTTTCCTCCCAGTGGCTGAGTTATATTAAATCAACCTCTCACCTCTCTTTATTTGCAGCTGGGCACATTCCGGTCCCACGATGGGGATTATTTTATTGAACCACTGCTGTCCATTGATGAGCAAGAAGGTGAAGAGGAACAAAACAAACCCCACGTGATCTATAGGCGCAGCAGCCCTCACAGAGCGCCCTCAACAGGAAGGCGTGCGTGTGACACCTCAGGTATTTGTTCTCCCCTCAGCAGAGACCCCCGCTGTGTGAGCTGGGTTAATTGCCAGGCTGCAAAGATGTAGCTCTTTCACAGGCCACAGAGCCCTACCGTTTACATTGTCTTGTGTTCAGTCTTCCAAGCCAGGTAGGTATATCCCCACTGTGTCGGTACAAATGTGGAAACTATGAAGAGGTTTAGTAACTTGTCCAAGGTCACACAGTGAGTAAGTGACAAATCCAGGATTGGAACTCAAAGAGCAGTGACTCCAGGCCCACTCCGGGCAGAGCTGCCTCTTTTGTTTAAGTTGCTTATGTTGAGGATTATGCTTTATGTCTCGAGGCTACTGTCGCCCGTATCCTCAATCAGCAAGTGCTTGTGTTTTCTTGCTGTGTTGGTGTTTTCCGTTCATTTGGACTTTTTTTTTTTTTTTTTTTTTTTTTTATTTTACAATGTAGCGTTATGAAAAAGTCCTAACAAATGCAACGTACAAAAGCTTCTATATGTTTATGGGAATTTTCCAATCAACTTCAGTTTAGTTAATGTTCCGTGGCTTCAGGAAGTATAGGAATGGAGCTGTGGGGTGCACTGTCAGGTGTCAGTGGAATGCGTCTATGCCCACCGTAGGTCTTCTTCCATCCTGGTCAGATTCTTTGAGGCTTGGTGCTGACACACTTGGCCCGTGTCAGGGGTATGTCCTCCGGGCACAGCGGACAGCTTATGCTTCTGTATGCTTCTCATTCTGCAGTCCTGAAGCACCCTGTCACTGTCTTTGAAGCCTTGTTACTTTCTTTCTGATGATAGTGTATCATTAGAAACCATCCATGCATTTGGCCCTGTGTTTTAGGGAGTTTGTTAAAATAACCATCTTTTTTATTCTTGGACTTCCTCTTTCTGAAAATTTATCCCTCTCCCTATTCTTCATTTTCAAAAGTTGCTATACCCCAAACTAAATAACTTCTCGGGGTCTTTCTGGCTTCTCCAAATAAGACCAAAATTCAAGACAAAGGGGGTTTTCCTAAAATGATCACGTGTTTCATCTTGTATCTGTATCAGGTTGTTGCGCTGTGACAGAGTGTGATGTCCTGTTCTCCCCTGGAATTATTACTTCTAAAGTGAATCCTTTAACAAGGGATGACATTGGCTGCTTATAACCTGGTATAGCCAAGTGGTAGCATATGGCATCGTTAAGTCTTTCGGCTTTATCCCATCCAGTCCTGTGTTCTTAACCACCAGGGCTAGATGGAACATAACTAAAATATTCTGTCAGTTAGACTCTCTACAGAGCCAAGGGGTGGAGGTGGGAGTCTGAGGGAGGGGTGTACTCAGAAACAATAGCCAGGGTGCCACGACTGCCAGCTGCTGGCAAGTTCAATGGCAAGACATTTATTACATCTTTTTGACCATGCCAGTAAGAATGTTGACCTTTACTTCTTGAATTCCGAAATCTGAAATAGCCAGTGCATATTTTATACATGTGTCTAAAACGTACATATATCATGTAATAAAAAGGAAATAATGTGATTCAAGAGAGGAAAAGTCTTTCTTAATACTATCATCCCCAAAATCCTCAGGGTTCACTCTTCAATTTAATTATCCAATTAAATAGACATTTGATTTTCTGGACTAGAGGACAAGTCATTGTCAAGTTCAGTTGAAAACGCAAAAAGGAGGGAATCTGAAAAAGTAAAGATTGAGGACAACAAAAGATGCCTTAATTTTTCAAAACAGCTTTATTTGGGTTCTAATTATTGGTGGGGGCCTTTGAGTGCCACCTTTCAAATCACCAGTGCCAACTTTTAGTTTTCTTTCTGGTTTTTGCTTGCCAGTGACCGATATGACAGGCCCTTCCTTCACCCCGTGTGATGAATCAGAAGCCTGGCAGTTTTGATTGGCTCTTTCAAAGGTTGCTGCTGGACTATGCCACTCTGGTTTCTCTCTTCCAGCTGCTTCTGCACCCCTTCTTTGAATTCAGATGCAGGCGGCTCAGAACAGTTGGAGAGAACTTTGGAATATGGCACAGTTCACCAGCAGCCATTAGAGGGATGGACCAGCAGGTCACAGAAACCTCCGAAACCAGGTAGCCTTGGCACAGGGAGTGAAAGCTGGTGGGGATGGGAGAAGTCCCTCTGGCCAGAGGGGAAAATATCCTCTCTGCAAATGTCAGTTCATTCAGCTTCAAGGATTTCCCCTACTAAGAGCAGCGGTTGGTAATCAGAGATAAACTTTAGAAGTACCCTGGGAGCCTCATGCAGAGTCCTTAAACAAACAAACAAACAAACACCTCTTGCAGGGAAGTGAAATAGAGCAAGAATCAGTGGGTTTACTAAGTACTCCAGGTGATGCAGAAGTTCAGCTAAATGTGAGAGTTCCCGCTAAAGTTGGCTTTAGGGCAGTAACCGCTATCCATAGCCAGTGCTCCCTTTGCCCTGGGCTTGGCTTTCTCCTTCACTGCTTTCCATCTTCTCTTCTCACAGGGTGATGAAACATTTGAGCTAGAGGAAACTAGCTCTAGGTGAACATGTTAATTCTACCCAGATGAGCAAAAACTGTAGGCCTGGGATGTTAAGTTACTTATTTCCAGGAGTGATACCCTATATATTCAACAAGAAACCATCAGAATTTGAGGTCACCCAAGCCTGCGAGCAGGCCCCTGGAAGCCCCCTGCTGAGCTAGGTGTAACCCTTTAGTTGCTGGATTATGCCAGTCTTCCCGGGATGGGGCACTGTGGCGGTGACACCTGTTTCCTATAGATGGAGTAGAAGTCTTGCTCCTTTCTGATTGTTGATGTATGTCTAATTTTCAAAAAAGATTCTGATAACTTTATCAAAAAGACACGTGTAGAAGGAATCTTATATAGTGAAAACTTCATGGGTTTAGAAAGGAGTCTACAACATAATTTATTCATTCATGTGTGCATTTATTCATTCAGCATGAGCTATTTATTGAGTAACTCCTCTGTACCGTGAGGATAAAACCAGGAACCATCTTTATTCCAGTTAGATGTGTGACCTCAAGCACGTTTAGAGCATAAAGTAAGAATAACATATACCTTCCAAGGGGGTAGTCAGGACTAAATGAGTATGAAACAGTGGAAGCTCCCGGGACAGATGGTAGACAATCCCTGAAAGGGAGATTTTTTTTTTAAAAAAGATTGTAAAAATAGAAATTAAAACACCATAGCCAGGGAAAGAAAACTCAAAATACCAAAACCCAAAGTTAATCAGATCTCTGTGGCTAAGCTTAGAGCTTCTTGGTTACCTGGTCATAGAGGGCCCATGAGGGACTTGCCCAAGGTCCCCCTGCCAGCGAGCAGCACGACTGAGAGCCCTTTCTGTCTGCATGTTTATTTGTACCTAATGCAGCATTTTGAAATTTTATTTCTTGCAACTTCCTCTTAGCCCATTGACTGTGTTTCTCTTATGCCCTCATTGGTTGTGTCTGTGTGTATGCATGCGGGCCGCTTGAGTGCGTCTGCATCGATTTGTGGTTTTCATCCTGTTGGTGGGTCCTTCAGAATTCAGGATGGAGTGTGGCGTGGCTTCTCTTCCTGACGGTGTGCCCTTGTGACTCGTCCCCTCCTACCCACTGGGTCCTCAGTTGAGGTCACTGAGGTGACTGCCTGCCCGCCCTGCACATCAGGGGGGCCTAGTGGTAGGCTCGTGGGAGCCGTTTGGGAGTGTTTGTTGCCTTTATAAGCCACTTACTGCTGATCCTTCGCATTGCATTTCCAGATGACACCCCAAGTTTTGTTTCACAGACACTCGCTCTTGGACCCTGGATCTTGCACAGGAGGATTTAGTTGTTTTCATTAGTGACAGAGACGTGTTTCCCAGCAGGTGAATGATGGGAAGGCAGGGGCGAAGGCCAACAGACGGCTGTTCTGCTTACCTGGGCCTAAAAGACAGTGTCTCTCCGTTACTAAAATGCCTCTCTCACCCTCCCATCTCAGCAAGGCTAGCTGTTTTGTTTTGTTTCTTTCATAAGGCATTTAAAAACTGTACACTTGTTGACTCATCAGTGTCACTTCTAAGGAAGTAATTGGACAATTGTGTACAGAGGTTTATGTGAGAATGCTCAGTCTGGTGGTGTTCAGTATAGCAGAAGGCTGGAAACAACCTAAGTGCCTTCGGTTGGAGGATAGATCAATGATTTATGAAGTCTGCATTTGATGGACTCCTATGCAGTCATCAAAAATGATGGCAGACAAATACAGAAACAGATATATTAAGTGAACACACAAGTGATGAAGTTGTACGTAGAGTATGAGCTCATTTTTTTTTTAATGATGGCGAAGCGTGTGGAGGAGCATATATGTATAAAGAAAAAAATCTGAAGCAACGTGCACAAAAATGTTAAAAGGGACTATTTCTTATTGGTAGGAACATAGGCAGTCCTTCCCTTTTTATTTTATATTTTTATGTAGTTTTTGCTGTGATTCTATAATAGTTTCATAATTTAAAAAATGCAGTCAAGAAAATGCAGTTAAAAAGAAATGGGGGTGGTGGCATGTAGTTATTTTGTAGCCCCGTGGCACTTGTCACCGGGGAGGAACAGCCAAGCCAAGATACCGTTGTTTTTGCCTTTGGAATGAGATAATCTCAATAACCCGGAAGATGAAATTCCTGCCTCGTGGCTACTTCTTTGGGATGCCAGCATTGGTCAAAGCTGAGGCTCCATCCTCACCCAGCTAAATTGCCCTGTGGCTGGCTGTTTGGCTAACCAACCGTAGGATTACGATGGGATTACCATGGCTTAGTCTCTCTTGGGCACTGGGGACTCTGCCCATCACCCCCATTAGAATGTACTGTCACTTCTTGGTTGGGCTCCCAAGGATGCGATCTCAAAGACTGGAAAATACAAGATGATGATTAAAGCCATCATTTTGGGGGCTCTTAGGATGCACCTGTGGAATCACTGTGCTACACACTTCCGTACATTGTCGTATGTAATTCATTCATCATTACTACAGGGTAGGTATTATTATCCTTATTTTATAGCTGAGAAAATTATA